ATCCCTGCCCTGGTCCTGCTGGCCACACCATTCCTGATACAAGCCAGGATGCCATTGGCCTTTCGAGCTGGTAGAGGCCAAAAGAGGGTTCATTCCTGTGGAGGTAGCATGGAGGATGGAGCAGAGTGCTGGTATGGGAGAGGGAGTTTGTCCCCAGCTCTGGCCCCAGCCTGGCTGCACGGCTGGCTGCAGGTCACAGCTCCTCTGTGCTGCTCTGCCGCTGTTCGCAGGCGTGAGATAATCAATCAAAGCTCAAAAAGTTTTTAGTGAGGGTGGGTGAAAAACGTTAGATAGGGGCGTATCAGGTTTCACTGATAAGCAGATGTGAGGTATTGCAATGATCCATATGTATGGAGGTACTCAGAGTGCAGTCACAGCAGTTAATGCTTTATTATATAGGTTCATGTGAAAAGACACCAGTACTAGACATAGCGGAAAGTACTACATCTTTAATTTTATCTCTGTCTCATGGGATTTCTGTAATGCTCATCATTATAGTCCCATCCTTGATAGTCATGACATAAAGAGCTCAATAAATTCCACAGAAGGATTGGAAATGAAAATATTTCCTGCAATTACACAGGATGGAAGACAGGTGACTGGAGCTGTATGGAGTTACTAATTCCCATGCTTCAGAGCACGTTGCTGGTTTGAGGGTCAGGAAGAAATCCTTCTCTCCTCCTAAGTGTAAATATAACTCATTGGGTGAAATGTTTTGGTTTTAAACTCTTTGGAAATCATCAGTAGGAAAGACCTAGGAGGCCTAGGTATCCATGCACAGTCAGCCCCATCCTTATTATTCAAGTAATGCTAATACTACTTCTTGTTAATGCTGTTCATTAGTCTATAAGATCTAGGTAAACTGTTTCGTGTTCCAGTGCATAAAGTCTGAACTAAATTAAGCACTGAATTAATATAACAGTGATTGTACAGTGAAAAATTTAAATATATAATATCTAGAAATAATTCTGAATTTGCATCTCAGATCTGAACCACTGAATTGAGGACTCTTGTAGTTTTAACTCTAATTCATATTCAGCCCAAAAATCTACTTTTCCCAGAATCGTGTATATATGTCAATACAATAAGCATATGTATTTAACAAATAATGATAGAAGATGATGTGATCATCTGATAAAATGTTAGCATCTTTTAAAACTCAGCTTTGTTTTAGCTTTCATGCCTCAGTTTTGGTACTGGGTGAGATTTCTTACCTTAGAAGAAAGTAACAAACTTCAAATTCCCTAGCAAGCTTCTAAAGCAAGACAGAGAACAACAGTAAATTGGTTTTTCATTGTTTTGGTTTTTTTTTAAATACTGAAGTTCCAGTTGGAGGATGGTAAAGTGCAGAGATGAGAACTGAAATGATCCAAATGCGCTAGCTTTTTCTGAGTCAGGCAGGGGGTGGGTGGACTCGTTACAAGCCTACAAGCCTATTTTAATGATTACCCAAACATGATGTGTTTGCTTTAGAGCAGATGCAGCATAAACCTCTCAGAGGTGACAAGCCTTTGACTCACACAGATGTGTAGGAAGGACAGGAAGCTTGATGGGTTTTTCTTATTAAATTATATACGCACAGAGATGCTAATTACTAGATATCTTTCTCCAAAATGCTTTCTGATCAGCTTTTTTACAAGGTCAGGAAACAATACCACTCTTAACTGGCTCTGCTGTTTTGGTTGACTGAAAAGATGCCGGTTGGGCCTTGAGAGGCACTTTGATCAGGGGCCAATGGCATCTCCAGTCAGAAATTGTAAACCAAAAGAGTTAAACAGCGAATGCTACAGATGGACGTATCGGTCATGAAGTATTTGAACAAGGAGATTTCAGTGAATGCTGAAAAACCAGCCCGGAAGAGGAGCAGAGACTTTGCAAAAATGGTTTTTAAAGCCAAGTGTTCCGTTTGGGCTCACCTCTACCTTTGAGTGTGTTGGATCCTGTTACGCAGGATGGCAGGTAACTTATGCTGCTGCTTAGCTCTTAACATTTAGAATACAGTAATTTGTGAAAGGTCAGTATGTTCTCTTAGAAGTTCTTACAGTGTCTCTGTGTGACTTCAGGAGGAACCCCCAGCACTTGCCCAAGCAGAAAGTGTATCTAAGAAATAGCTTTTAATGTGATTATATTGTTTATTACACTGGTTTTCAACTTGGGTCCCAAGGAAGCTTTCCAAAGCACTGCTTTTCAATGTGTGGACACTTTGGGGAGTTGACAATGGAGAAAGATTGAAAACCACCACTGTAAAACGTAATAGTATATGCATAAATCACTTTGGATATACTGCAGTAAAAATTCACAAAGTAAAAACATTGGGGTTTCACAAAAGTGGCCAAACCAACCAGCTAAACCCACTATGCGTTTGCCCGTAGACGTTGCAGAAATAGGCAGGTAGAGTTGGAGGCTTGGAACCACTCCTGATGGCAGTAGGCTGAAGTACAGCGCATTTCAGCCTGGATGTCATTACTTCTGGTTGTTTGCCTTTTGCTCACTCCAGCACCTTGTTTTTGCAGATGGCCCAGCTGCGTATCCAGTCCCGGTACAGAACACCAAGCCACTACTGACTGTCAGCTTCACGTCGGGGGACATCAGTTTAATGAACAATTATGATGACTTGTCTCCTACTATCATCCGCTCAGGGTTGAAAGGTACAAAAGGAAGCCATTTCGCCCCTTTTCTATGCTCTGTTTTTCTTCTGTTTTTCGTGACGCGTGTGTAGGTTCTGTTTTTGCGGTTGTCTCTCCTAACGCAGAAGCCCTTGGCCATGGTTATTGCCATTTCCAGCAGTGACATCTGCTGGGGGAAGAGCAGAGCTTGGCTGGTGGAGTTTTCATGTTTAAAAAGAAAGTTTCCATTTTTGAGATCGTGTTTTTATGGCAATTTTGTAGAGCAGTTGATCTGTTTGCTGTTTCGCAGCTGAATGTGCTAATATGTTTAAGCTTCTTTATGTGAATGCCCCTGTGATGTAACGCTTCGCTTCTATCTTCAATTCACAAAGTCTCTTCCCATGCTTTTGGTAACCAGGTACAAATCGCAATGCTGCTTTGACTCTCACAAATACTGAAAACTTGCTAGAATTATTATCAAGAGGCAAGTTATTCTGAGAGAATGAAAATTCCACTGATTAATTACTATACACCTTGCTAAGTGATGCGCATGAATGTTTGTAAGATCAGTATTCCATGTAAAAATCTTTAACTCACATTGAAGTTTTTACTGTCCTTACCTATCAAAAAGTCCCTTACTTTGCCAGCACTCTCGGTACAATTTACACTGCTTTGCCTGGAGGGAAGTTTTAATTCACTACGACGCATAAGCACATACTTAAATATAGGTTCCATTGATTCTTTTTCATCTCCTTGGGTAGATTAGTTTTATAGTTGATGAAAAAAAATTAAACTGTTGGAGCAGACTCTTACCTGTTCTGTAACAGTGGGGTATTTTTGATGAAAGGTTTGCCCTAACACCAGCCCAGTAGTTTTTAGGTGGTCCACTATGTGGGGTAGGCTTAGGAGGTAGAAAAATCACGATTGAAGTTTCTTTTCCACTCCTGCTTCCATCTGTGCCAACACAAGAAACACGTGGCTTGCAAAATGTAGCATTGTAAGGCAGCCCTGTGATCGAGAAAACTTCTGCAGCCAAAAGGACATCTAAAGTCTGGGAAACTGGAAGCAATTTAGAGAAGCTCTTGTGATATCCACCAATGGGTCTGCCCATCATCTCTACAGGTTTGTAGTAATTAGGGTAGAGAGTTGTCATCTAGTCTAGCTTTCAGCTGGAAACAGCAGAAGCAAACCCCATCTTATTCTCTTGTTTAGAGTTGCAGGGCTCTGTCTTGCTGAGGATGTCTGTCCTGTTTCTCTTTCCCCATTGACTTTCACTAGTGGAAAAAAGATCCCTTAATTACATCACTCTCCTCTAGCAAAATATTTATGTGTAAGCTGAAGCAGAAATATTTTTATGAATTGTAAACTGGACTACATCGTTTTCGTCAGTCGATGAAGAATGTGCAACATCATGCTGGATCGGAGTGTGTGTGAGACAGAGCCAGAGAAAGGTGGTTGGGATATCCCTGCCTGTTGTTTTGTAGCATTGTATGGTGGAAACTATTTCACATATAATTTTATATAGATGTACCTTTTCTGTATCTTCTTATCAAAATTTTTTTCAAGTGACTGTAGTTTTACTGGGTTTTATCACATGCAAGAATATGCAAAACCACCCAGCTCAGTGTCTCCATCCTCTTCAGCCACTTGGTATTCTGCTGAGAGTGAATGGTCTTCAGTATTGTCTGCAAGTCTTAATTCCTGGGTTTTTGTTAGAAATCTCAAAGTATTGCTTTGTGGTCTCTGCAGCAGATGTCCTTGTCTTTATGGGCAGCTGTAGGCTACTCCATGTATTTTTAAAGCAGGCAACTATAAAACTATTTTAAGCAATAGCAATATATTTTTGCCATTCTACTAGCTTTGCATAGCTGTCATTTTACTGGAAATACTAATATTAATTTGATAGAGAAAAACTTTTGCTGTTGGATGAGAATTTGATTACCCAAATACAAGTTCTTATTTTCATGCAGCTTAAACACTTCTGGAAGTTTTATCAGTTCTAGGGGAGGTCCTGAACTATTCAGTTGTATTTTTTCTGGTTTTTACACTTTTTAACTCAGTGATTCTCGCTGCACTGCTGCCTGCAGAACTGCTGAAC